GGGGGGTGGACACAAGTCTCCATCTCTACCCCAAAACGTACTTTTTCCACCTGATCTGCTTAGGATTTTGGAATGGGATTCAGAATGTGAGAATAGTTCAGCAGCAAGACCCATTGAGTTTCATTGATGATGCATATGGCAGCATACCAGATGAAAGCTGACAGTGTCTGCCGATAGTGGTGAGTGATGCCAAGTATAAGCGTGCAATACCCAAGTCATCCTCCAGAGAGAGGTCACAGCCTCCAGCAGGTGTAGTTCCCCCACCCTTGGATTGGAGCCATCCTTATAAAGGGAGGTCTACTCTTTTCTTTTCTTTTCTTTTCTTTTCTCTTCGTGTTTTGTAACCACCACTACCTTTCTCACAAAAAGGATATTTGGAGCGGACAATTTTCGGTCCCTCACTACTACCCGCCCAACAAAACGCACCACTACCCACATCAAACCTCTGCCCGGGCCGGTAGAGTGGGGTCCCCGATTTCTTTCATGGGGCGCCCGGAGCGGGCCCAGCTTTTTTGTTATTTTTACGGATTCTTGTTCCGTACGTAGTGTGGGATGAGACTCTTAGGGTCCTACCTGAAGGTCTTAGGGTCCGGCCCTAATGCAGGCCAGCGGAGACCAGGCTCCTTTGACAAAATGACGCTCACTCCTTACCCCACATCCTTCTTCCTGCTGCCCTTTTACTGAGGAGAATAACAGAGGGTCCAGGTATTCATTCCCTGCTTGGCCAACTTACCCATCAGGGCCCAGGCTTCCAGAAACCACCACATACCCCTGGTTCTTTGTCTTGATGCACAGATTTTCCACCTCCAGTAGCCCTGAAAGTAGTGTTCATGGGTGCAGTTGTTTTTTCATGGGCTTGATCCTCTAGGGGTGTGGCCCCACCTTGTAAGCGAAACTGGGTAATGCTCCCAGCCTTACCGGGTAGACTGTGAGGACCCCGGCCTCATGATATTTATTCGAGATATAAGACTTGTGAACTGGGCCTTGATTTGAGGGGGAAAAAAAAAAAAAAAAAACCTTTCTCATATGTGGGGCAGCGGGCTTCAAATTCAAATTCAGCCACCAGGCGCGCCCTCGATGAAAAATATTGGCTGCGGCGTGGCGGCTATTTTTCAGGAGTAGGCTACTAGATGCCCCGCGGCCGACATATGGGAAAGGTATTGGTACCTTTCTCATAAGTGGGGCGACGGCCTTGAGATATCATCATGACCGGCCCCTGGTAATTCAAAATAAAAAATAGTTGGTTTTACAACTTCTACTCATCAACTTCCATCATCTGGATTCCAACGCGGGTCTGTATTTTCAACAGTTCATGGGTGTGGTCCCCACTGAGCGGGCCTCAAATTCAAACCCGGCCGCCCATGAAAAATATGGTCTATTTTTCACGAGCAGGCTACTAGATGCCCGCGGCCGACATATGGGAAATGTAGCGGTGGCCTTCTGAATATCTGGCCACCCCAGCCAGCAGAGCCACGTGCCCTCTTCAGAAGTGTATTGTTCAACATAACACCTGGATTTGCGGATCCACCAGGGGAACAAGTTTGAGCCGACGCACTATTTTTTTTTTTCTTTCTATATTCTTCTCTCAACTTCTGTTTCTTTACCTTCCACTACCTACTCCTAAGACTATCTAGAGGGGCAGTTTCCTCTCTCTGTGAAGGGGATATTTCATGTTGCCCCTTGCCCCTAATGGTTAGGGTATAGGGTTGGGGCCGTCAGTGGGGGTCTGGCTAACACAAAGACCGAGACCTGCCGCACTAAAAATAGATGCAACCAAACAAAACAAAACACTAAAAATAGATGCAACCAAAGAAAACAAAACAGAAAAAAAAACGGAAGAAAAGATTCAATCGCTCAAAACTTTCCCAGCAGGATACGCAGAAACTTTTTTTTTGTTTTTTTGTTTTTTGTTTTAAGCTATATTCTTCTCTCAATTTCACCTCACACTACCTACCTACCACTACTCCTAATTGTAGGCATACGGGGAACCCCGTAGCAGCCAGAACCGTGTTCACGAGAGAACAAATAAAGTGTGCACGTATTGTAAAGTGGGCAGCGGAAAGTCTGCCAAATGCACCATGCTGGGAGGGAAGAAACTCGGCCACGTTCTTCTGACATTCACGCACAAACGCGAAGTGCGGACAAAAACAGACACAGAGGATCACACACACACACACACATGTGTGTGTGTGTGTGTGTGTGAGAGAGAGAGAGAGAGAGAGAGAGAGAGAGAGAGAGAGAGAGAGAGAGAGAGAGAGAGAGAGGGAGGGAGGGAGGGAGGGAGAGAGCAAAAGTAGTTATCGACGTACCGGATCAGCGCGAAAGAGGTAAAACAGTTGACGTCAACCAGTATACAAACAGAGAGCCTGCAGAATAAAGAGGACAGACTTCTGGTCCTTCTGGATAATCCCTCGCCAAGAGAGCAATAAGAAAAGGTCGCAATGAACAGGAAGCCCAGACAGAATCGTCGGAGAAGCCCAGAGATAGTTTTCATAACCAATCCTTGCACAAATGAAGAAGAAAAAGTCATACACGGAGGAGAAGAAGAAGCTAGTTTCATGACCAATCAGACCAATCCTTCCATAAAGGAAGAAGAGAACAAAAAAGAGAAGAAGAAGAAGAAGAAGAAGAAGAAGAAGAAGAAGAAGAAGAAGAAGAATCCAGAACAAGACGAAAGAGGAGGAGGAGGAGGAGGAGGAGGAGGAGTACGAAGACGGAAGAAAAAAAGACAAACGGGCGGGGGGTTACAACAAGAAATCACACTTCGAAAAGGGGCGCCGAGGATAATACAGTCCATTTCTCGGGAAACGAACAATGTGTGCCAGTATTTAACTCCCAGAGCGCCAACCACCTCCAACGGCCCAACGGGTACTACTTCACCCAAGATCACTAACGCGTTGATCAGAAAGAATTTTTAAGTGGCATTCGAAGTGGAAGGAAAATAGCTCTGCAGAACAGGAGCAAGATATAAAACAACTTAAAGTTTAGAAAAAAAGATACTATACAGTTACAGAATCGACGGTTGGCAGAAATTTGTCCACAGAAAAAGCAGCACCTGCACCGCGAAGCGAATTGTTGAGCCTTTGATTCTTTGAAATTTGATGCTCTGCGCAAGCTCTCGCGAGTCTAGCCGTCGCTCCACAAACTGGGACCCTGTAAGTCCCCGGTTGGCAAGACACGACGATACGTCAAATGTGCGAGCCCCCGCCACCGATGGGGCCGTGCGTGATATGTGTGTAGTGCAAAGGGTGTGAAGACGACGACACAATGGGAGAGAGCAGGCGAGCTCCCCACGTGTCACGTGCGACCACCCATCCAGCTTTCTACGGAGTGGGAATGCATGTCACCCACGCTCGCCTCGCTCTGAGACTCTTGCTCTGGCCGTTTACGTACCGGGATTCCATGCCTCAGAGGCTCATACCATTCGTCGGGATCTGAAGCCCCCCCCCCCTCTAGATCTGTGGCCCGGCCGACAATATTTCCTGAGTGAGCTTCTTGTCGCCCCCGACAGTGTAGTCTTCAAACTTGAGAAAGTTGGTCTTGAAAAGCCCGGCGACCTTCCTGAGGGTGCTGTCGTATAAGCGCTTGTCTGCCCACATATTCTGCGGGATCAGCACCTCGTCCGGTACACCGTGGACATGATCCGGGACGGCGAGGTTGAACACCTCCGTCCTGCGGTACTTTGCATGCAGCAGGGATCCGTCGTGAATGGCATCGACGATCTTGCGCGTGTGGGACAGGCGCATCCTGTAGCCGGTGCCGTAGCTTCCTGCGACCCAGCCGGTGTTGACGAGCCACGCCGTCGCGCCGTGCTGCTGCATCTTCTCCGCCAGCATGGAGGCGTACTTGGCCGGATGCCACATGATGAACGCGGCGCCGAAACACGCGGAGAAGGTCGCCTTGGGCTCCTTCACGCCTTCTTCCGTGCCGGCCACGAGCGCCGTGTAGCCGCTCATGAAGTGGTACATGGTCTGCGCCAGCGTCAGCCTGCTCACAGGCGGCAACACGCCAAAGGCGTCGCACGTCAGAAGGATGACGTTGTTCGGGTGCGGGCCAACGCACGGAATCTTGGCGTTAGCGATGTGCTCGATGGGATAGGACGCCCGGGTGTTCTCGGTCACCGACTTGTCGGTGAAGTCCACCACCCGCGTGTGCTCGTCGAACACCACGTTCTCCAGGACCGTGCCGTAGCGGATCGCGTTCCAGATGTCCGGCTCCTTCTCCTTGGACAGGTCGATGCACTTGGCGTAGCATCCTCCCTCGATGTTCGACACTCCGTCGTCGCTCCAGCAGTGCTCGTCGTCGCCGATGAGGAACCTGTTCGGATCCGCCGACAAAGTGGTCTTGCCCGTGCCCGACAGCCCGAAGAAGAGCGACACCTTGCCGTCCTTGGACACGTTGCACCCCGAGTGCAGGGACAAGATACCCCTCTTCGGCATCAGGTAGTTCATCAGCCCGAACAGCCCCTTCTTCATCTCGCCGGCGTACTGCGTGCCCAGAATGACCATCTCTCTCCTCTTCAGATGGATGTTGATCGTGGTGGACGACGTCATGTAGTTGGTGAAGCGGTTGCAAGGGAACTTGCCGGCGTTATAGATCGTGAAGTCCGGCTCGCCGAAGTCCCGCAGCTCCTCAGGCGTCGGCCGAATGCACATGTTGTACATGAAGAGCGAATGGTACGGCCGTGCAGTGATGATGCGCACCTTGATTCTGTTCTTCGGGTCCCAGTTGAGGAACTGGTCGTTCACGTACACCTTGTCCAACGAGTTGAGGTAATCGACAGCTCTCTCGCGGTTAATCAAGAACGTCTCCTCGTCCATCTCAATGTTCGGCGACCCCTCACCCCACCAGAGGTCGTCGGAGGTGAGATCCTCCCTGACGACGCGCTTGTCCCTGGGCGAACGACCGGTCTTGGCTCCCGAGAGAGTGCCCAGGGCGCCCGTCGAAGTGATGTACGACCCCGTCTCGTACTTGATCGCCTCCTCGTACAGCTCCGCGGGAGACAGGTTGTGCAGCACTTGGGTCACCTTCAGCTCACTGTCGCTAAGTATGGGCCGGAGGTGATGGACGATCTTGCCGGACGTGGCCACATGAGGGCCTTGCTTGCCGTGGGAGATCGAGGCCAACGAGCTGCTGATGGACTGCGACGCCAGAGCAGCTTGAGAAGACGAGATGAAAGGCGATGTCTTCTGAAGAGAGTGAAGCTCCTCGATGTTCTTCGCTCTCACCGGCGGATGGATATCCCCATAGTTTTCATGATGAGGAACGACCTTCACACCGCCCACAACGAGCGGAGCCGCAAGCGAACCATTCACGTTGTCTGCCATGATGAACAGAGAAAGCCAAACCTGTGGCAGGAAGGCTCCCTCTTCTCTCAGTTCTCTGTCCGGCTGCGCCTCCTCTTTCAGTGACAGTGCGTGACTCCGTCGTCGTCGTCTCCTCCTCTCTCCCTCCTCTCTCCCTCCTCTCCCCTGTGCGTGCTCCACCTTACGGACCGACTTCCGTTCCCTGCTGCGAGCTATTCAGCCGCTAGCTGACGGCTACCGAAATGCTCGAGCCGGGAAGCAGGAGAGGGAGCGGGAGAGGGGAGGGCGCGCCGTAGACACCGAGGAGTACCGCGCGCCCAGCCCCGGTGAATTACGTGAATGCTAAAGCCCATCAGGCAGCATTACATAAATAGCTCGGCGATGTCGAAAGACCGTCAGTTATCACACGGCGAGAAGTGCAACTTGCGCCGACATACCGCGAGGCCCCACAGTCGCAGCCCGTAAGGTGAGGCTGACTATCGAGGGACAGAGCGAAGAGGGCCCGGTGGCGAAAGCACGGAATGACAAAAAAACGCACGGCAGGACAGAGGAGATCGGGGCAGCGGATAGCCACACGAAGGTGGTCGGGGTGGGCCCCACCAGCGGTCTGTATTCAATGTCTGTAAGGAGGGAGTAGAATGTCTTCGTACACTCGTGAACTGTTGGAAATAAAGAGCACTTAGACCAGTCCTCAAATTCCAACGCAGCCAGAGAAGAGGAAAGAACTTGGAGGTAACCAAAGGAAATAGAATTGGCCTTATACACTGCAGTTGCCTTATGGGGGGTGGGGGGGGGGAGAGGATGTCGTGGATGTATATGGGAGGCGCAGCTACCGGCCACACACATGTTCAGTCTTTGCTTTAGCGCACCCCCCCCCCTTCCTTCGGCCCAATGTGCATCCCCTAGATTGTGAGAGGTGTCTATGCTTGCAGGGGTCTCCTGTATGAGCTAAGCAGCAGTTCGCAGCCAGGATGGCTGCGTATAGATAGATGTCTTTTGTCGTTTAGCGGCCGTTTTCTGTATGGGGAATGTCGTCGACCGGGTAAACGGGTTTAGAGGGCGTCGTTGTGCGATTAATAGGGTTGCGGTCACCAACCGGGCACCGACCGGTGGTCTTGTGAGGGAAGCGGCGGTCGTGGGAAATGGTGGTGCGCGTCTGGTTGTTCCGCCCGTTGTTCCGCCCTTTCTACTATGGGAAAGGTTTTCATGATTATCTGGCCGTTCATTTCCACCGAGATCGAGGGGACCATATTTTTTTTTCGTTTTGCAAAATATGGCAATGCTTCTGTCCTCATTCTGGGGAAGTGTACTAGTTCGGTGCTGCTAGCTGCCGGCTACCGTAGTCCCCTCCCATCGGCTGGCCAGGTCCTGGATGCAGCGTTCTGCTGTGCCTATCTACCGAGGGACTGCTGAGGGCATATCGTCTCCACCTGCAAGGTGAGATGGGACTGGTTTGTATGAGCTCGGCGGTTCCCCCGCTGTCCTGACTGCGCCCCCACGCCATGCTTGGTATCAGTGGTAGGGAGGTAGTAAAGTTGATGAACCTGAACGAAGAAAGTGGCTTTGTTTAAAACACAAAAGGGAAAAGACAAGAAATAAAATGTCACACTGGCAAGCAGGTGTTTTGCTGTGGCCCTTATGCAGGTGCTTCCTAAGCATGGGAATGATATGCTGATTTGGGATGTGGCGGATTTCAGATGTGAGCTTCATGTTAGGGAATCCGAATATGTTGTGTGCGAAAAAAAAGACATGCTTTGTTGCACATACCGTGACGGCGTGACAGTGTGACTGTGCACAGTCACACATACAGGTCCTTCTGCCAAAAACTCTACAAGACAAGAACATCTCCTTGCAAACACCTTGGGCTGTCCATATCTCCGTTCAGCATCACACTCAGCTATGCGGTCATGATGTGAGTGAGATGTCCAGGGACCACAGCTAAATAAACAAAGGGGAAAAAATCAGTCCACCTCTTCTTCTGTTGTGTGTGTCGCGGCTTTTGCCCAATGAGCCCCTCCACCAGGACCCCACCGCAGGCGTAGCCTGTCATGCAGGTTGATCCAATATCGAATCCAATAGAAGAGCAAGAATAGGGATTGCGGTTTGAGTTTCTGTCTATCAAAGGAAACTGCGGGTTGCAGAAAAGTGCGCCCCACAACAGAATTTGCAAGAACGGATTAGGACCAGCAGCGAAAAAAAAGAAAAGAAGGTGCAGCTCCAAAGACGTAATTGCAGCGAAGGTTCCCATTTCAAACGCTAGGCCCCTTTGGCCTAAGGAGGCATGGCCCAGAATATTGGACCACTCCAAGACCAACCGGGCCTGGCCGGTTGGAGGGGTCGCCGGGCCCTGAAATGATGAAATCATAATGGGCCCGTCTCTCTGGAGGTGTGTTGTGTCCCTGCTTTCCCTTCTCCTTCTTCCAATACCCCTCCTTATTGCCTCATGCGAAAAGCTAGGAATGGCTCCGTCACAATCTGAATGTATCTACCCACCACTGAGGCCAGATGCAGGAGATGACACTGTGAGTTATCCCGGCAGCATCAGCTGGTTTAGCTTATGATTCGACTTCTCCCACTTCTCTTTTTTTTTTTTTTTTTTTTTTTTTTTTTTTTTTTTTTTTCTTTTTCAGAAACAGCCCGGGCGACTGCTAGGGGTGCTGCCGTAGCCTGTATTCCATCCGCATAAACGATCTTCTGTTCAAAAATTCTACTCCGCTATTCTACACGTGATTACTTCGCCTATCCACTTCCTACTCTACCGGGTCTACCCTACCTATCTAGTGTACCCTACCTAAGGCTGCCCAGGTCTAACTCGGCCTGAACTCGATCGACCCCGGCCGAGGGAACCAAGCTCCTTCCAGGCTGATGCTCTCTAGCTGTTCAGTGTGTCTACTGCCACCGGATCGTGGTTAAAGGCAACCGAGAACCTAGGTTGCCACACAAGAAGAAACCCCTACCCTCCCAAACAAACCTACCTGTCCAACCACGGAGAAGTAACAAGTTCACCCTCTCTTACTTCTGCGAGAGCACCTGGAGCTGCCCACGTCTCCGCAAACCACCACAGCCCTTCCTGCCTGTTCCCCTGTAGTACCCTCCTCCTCCAGTCTGCCCGTATCTCCAGTTTCAGCAAATTTCAAAACACGTTTTCCACCGGAGCCTCAGACCAATCCTGGGACTGGAACCTTCTCCCATTCCTGTCCAGCCAAATGACCCACATCATGATGGCCCGGTGTCGGGCGGCCGCAGACCAGTCGGCCACCCGAAAAACTAAGGATTGAGCCTTGGGTTAAATGCGTAAGGAAGAATCAACCGGCACTTTCATCGGAGCTGTCGGGAAAAATTAGGGGTCCTAATACTAACTCTGAAAACCCCTTTGTCGACCGTTGGTACTAACCCTTAAATTTGGTGACTTGGACGACTGTGTCTACCGCACCTGACGCCAACTTTTTTCATCTGTTCTGAGGTTGTCTTCGAATTGGTCAGCCACGGAACGTGAATGAGCCAGTAGGCCTTCGCGTGGTCCTTTTCACGCTGACCAGTTGACAAAGAAAGAAGCCAAAATTTTTATCTGATTTAATGATGAAATTAAAAACAAGTGGTTATTTCATTATTAAACAAGTTTTGTCCGATTCTGCCCTCATCAATCTTACCCATGATTTACCTAATTATTACTCCGCGCTAATTTAAAGAGGATTTTATTTAATTATTAACCCTCCTCTAATTTTACCGGGTTTTACTAGAATTTTATCCTTGTTATAACTCAAGAATTATTGACTGTGCAGCACCCGTGTTTTGCTGAGTTCCCATGGCGTGCTAATTGTCGTACGGAACTCGGGTGGACACTTGATTATCGAGCGGTGTTTGTCTCAACACTACCATGACGCGGATTTTGGTTACATCAACGGTCGGGTCATCGGGACTGGTTTTCAAATTTCGGTGGCCGGGTCATTGTCACGATTGCGGATACGGAATTGGTACAATGCACGCGCTGTTTGGTACGGTGGATGGTCTGATCTGGTGCTGAGGCCCACCCTGGTTCGATATGTTTATTTCGTTATTCTATGGCGGCTTGACCACGGTGGAACGGTTGTTGATTGAACTTCAATGTTGGTACGATTCGTGGCTCCGCAAATCAAAATTAGTGTGGTGTTTAGCGCAACCAGGTATTTGTTGCGGCTCAGCGGACACGACACGGGTACTGGTGCAGGGCAATCTCTGCTGGTCTACCAAGCCAAAAAAAAAAAAACAAAAAAAACACGGGTACTTGGGCAGACCCAACGGTTGCTGCGGGCTTTAGGCCACTGGTACCAGCGATCCTAGCGCTTTTTAAGCCAAGGTGCTAATGTGTCCGCAGGGCTGGGCCAACGGCAGCGGACTGTTGGGGACAGACGAGGCCGTGAAAGCGGAATATAGCTGGGTCAGAGGAAGGAGAAGGGACATTCAAGAACTGGGGCGACCGGAGGGACCGCAACGCACGGACAATGAACGACAGCGAGCGCAACGAACGAGTCTGATGGACCCCATGCTCAATCATGAGATGCGGCTGATGACACGACAGCTATGGGGGAGCAGATGATGTCAATAGGCTGACCGAGATGCAAGGAGGACCATGCTACATAAACGGGCACCGGTTCGTGCCCGCTGGCATGAGCAAATGGGCTACAACCATGACAACATATATTATGCATCTTTCTTACCCGCTTGTGCAAGTGCACTAGATGCAGTCACTGCAGTTCTTAACGTCAGTCATCGATGAGGCTAGAGGTGACTCGTGAGCGAAGAGGGAAACAGTGTGAGAGAGCAACAAGAGTGCAAGAGCACGGGGTTATGAAAGTGTGTGAGCGTGTGAGGCGGTGTATGTGAGAGAGGACACTGAAAGAAAGAAAATCCTATTTATTTCTTTATTTTATTTAATTGTTTTATTTATTTCTATTGAGTATAAGCGGGCCAGCGGGATTCGCCAGCACTGCTGGTGCTTGAACCAGTCATTATACCTCTGTAACACGAGGTTTGCAGGATTCATCATTTCCGCTGGTGATTGAACCGGTCATTATCCTTATTATCCCTTAGTGAAACGGAACTGCGCAGCGAGAAAGAGGGGCTGCAGGCAGAGAGAGAGAGCGAGGGCAAGGGACTGCAGGCAGAGAGAGAGACTGCGCAGTGAGAGAGAGAGAAAGACTGTGCAATGAGAGAGAGAGAGATTGTGTAGCAAGAGAGAGAGAGAGATTGTGTAGAGAGAGAGAGAGAGAGAGAGAGAGAGAGAGAGAGAGAGAGAGAGAGAGAGAGAGAGAGAGAGAGAGAGAGAGTGCACAGAGAGAGAGAGAGAGACTGCAGAGTGAGAGAGAGAGAG